ACTCCTCATTACCTGTAAGCAACAATTTTTTTTTATGTTCACTGAGTCTCTTTAAATTAGCCCACATGCTTAGTTGGGGGGCAGGGAAGGAGGGGAAGGAGAGGGACCTGGGATTGACATGTAAAGCAATTTTCTTTCTAATAAAAAAAGGGAAAAATAAAATAAACACAATAAAAGTTATGAACTCTGATTTCAAAAAAAAATTAGCCCACATGCAATTTCAGTCATTTACTTGTGGAGGATTTCTAGGTGTTAATAATAAGAAGTTGAAACACTGACAAAAACAAATTGGGAAAGAAGTATGTTGCAATGTTCATTACAATAAATTGCTTTTTAGTTTTAAATTGTTTAATTATTTAAAAATAAATCTGATTAATAGTTTCTCCTACACAAGAAGGTTGGTGTGTGGTATTAATGTGTTATAATGGGGGTTTCACATGAGATTTGGGATTAATAGATTATCGTGGACTCCACACTGGAATAACACAGTCACCTTTCCATGGGTAACTTGGACGTGTTCTTGTCTAGTTGCCATGGCTTCTCTAGATCTCAGAACTGTTTCTTGTTCTTTGGCTTTAGCAGTAGCAACTGCTATCGTAGACAAGGCAGTTTTTTCAGCTTCCTTTTTCATCTGATCATTATGGTAAAAGCAAAGTTTAAGTCGTATGGGCTTCAGACACACAGGATATGACCCCCATGACACACATACACACACACACTGTTCCCCTGCTAATGGGATGCAAAGATAAAATCATTCAGAGTTAAAGACTCACTTAGCAGTGCTTGTATAGAATGACTGGGAATCACAGAACTTAGCAATGTTATCAGTAACATAATCTCTAGATGTTTTCCCGCATTGCTTTTAAAAATTTAACTAAGATGCTAGTGTTCATGCGAATAATAGTGATTAACAAAGTGAGTTACAAGTGTTATAGGTGGGTGATTATCAAGTGTGAAGGAAAAGTTAATGGTACTCGGTCACATATTTACTCTTTTTTAGTTATGAATTTAAAAAGAAAAAGATTAATAATTCATACTGCGTAATAGTTAATGGTTTACTAGAGATTAGCTGAAGATAAATGTTTCACATCCCAAATATCTGCATTCACCTTTTCCTGAGTTATTTGAACTTGATCTCTTTTGGTAGTGATGGTTTCTCTAGTTCTGGATACTAAATCTTGCTCTTTAATCTTGGGCGCAGCAACTATGACTTTGGGTACCACTGTTTTCCTAGTTTCCTTCATCATCTGGTTATATGGTTTCAAGAGAAAGGTAAGAAAATGTCAGTAAATTTCAAGAGCCTCTAATTTTAAAAAAATTGAGAAAATAGGCAGAATTTGCCCTATTAGTCACAGGTGCTTCATTAAACAAATATCACTGTATTGTCTTGATCATCCATAGGATTTCACTGGCAAGAATGCCTAAACAGTATGACTAAAAGGAAAAATGGGATTAGAGAGAAGAGTAACATGTGTCCCTTCTCTCTGCCATGTTGTTCATATTATAATCTATGTGGAGTTCCAGTAGAGACTGAAAACATGCATACTTTTGCCTTGAATACCTGAGTCTGTATCCACAGGAAGACATTGAAATGAGTTATAATCTATTAGTAGCAATCTAAAGAAAAGCAGAGAGTTAGGAATGAGAGTGACAGTGAAAGCCAGGTGGGCAGTGAAGGTTCGTGAGATTTTGAAGAGAAGTGATGATTAAGAGCCATGATGTCAATGTGGATGATTTGCAAGTGACATGATGCAAGAGTGACTTTCACACCTGAAGGAAGTCATCACCTGTTCATGAGTGAGGTGCATTTGATCCTGTTGTATAGCAATTTCTTCTTGAACTCCCATAGCTGTCTCTAGTTTTGTGGACTTGGCGGTGGCAAGCACCACCATGGATGCAGCAATTTTCTCAGCTTCCTGTCTTACCTGATTTTGTAGAGTAAAATGAAGATTTGAGTTTCAAGGGGCACAAAAGAAATGGTAAGATGTCTAGGCCACATTCAGAATACTGAAGGCTTGGTGATGAGGTAGAAAATGTCATACCCCCATTTCAGAGGTCTAAACATGTGTTTTCCTGAGGCATGAACTTTTCTATCAAGCTGTCCCTTAACAAATTATGCCAGAACTGAAAAGGTGACACCTTTGGGCTATGTTGACATGTTAAGAATGGCTGATGCTGAATGACTAAAAAGACAGCTGGCTGAACTCATCAATCTGCAATGTTACAATGGCCATTGGAATTCCTATGTTCCAAATATTGCCTAGCATGATTCCTGGGTCACTTAAATGTTCTTTTATCCTGTGGATGAGGTGAGTAAAACCTGAGCAGCTGACCCTGGTTAGCCTTTTAGAGGACTAAAGAAAGTAGTTCTTGGATCAGCCAAAAGCTTTGAAGAGAGCATGGGTCAAAGAACTTGAAATAAAAGCCCCCGTTCTTTAAAACTTGATGACAAAGAGGAGAAAAGTAGACTTCAATGACATCAAATTTGCCTTTCTATTACCTATATGTTTACTTCTGTGTTTATCACCCAGGAATTATGGGCACTGTCTTCTCTGATGTCCAACATTTCCCTTGCTGCTTAGTTAGAGTGTCTGGGGCTCAGGTGTGTACATGTGTGATATGTGTCAGCAGGTACACACAGGCATGTGTTTCACAGGCTGAATATCCTAGTCTAAGAGACTGAGGGCTCAGATTACATGCCCAAAATGATGTGCTAGTGGCTAGTGGGCAGAATCAAGATGTACCTTCTGCTTACATATGATCTCTTAGGAAGTTTAAGGATGTACCCCCAAACTCTTCGAGGAGCGTTTACATCAACTGATCATGTGGTCACAGCAACGTACACAGAAAACAGAATTTCCACTGTGGCAAAGTTTCAACTCTAGACACAGGCAACCAGTAGGAAGAAAAGAACAAACAGAGATTCCAGTCTGAAGTTCTACGTATATGTGCCATTCATAAAAATCACAAAGCTAGACTTACTGTTTCTTGAGTTATTTGCTTTTGCTCTTGTTTTGTAGTAATTTCTCCGGTAGTTCTAGTTTCTTGCTCTTTGGCTTTTGTTGCGGAGATCACTACCTTTGGTACAAAGGCTTTTTCAGTTTCTTTTCTTATCTGAAATCAATGATTAAAAACAGAATCTTAGTGTTTCCCAATCTCCAAAAGGGCTATCACCATATTAAATGCAACAAGGTAGGAATTTGAAGGTGTGAAAGTCCCTTTCTGGAGATGTCATTAATTGAATCATCATACTTTAATAGGAACACATTTGTTCTCTCACTGAACCATATACATAAGTCTCTTTAGAGGAAAGGGAATGTTGGATTCAAGATTGCTTGTTTCATAGACAGTTGTAATCTACATTAACAAGATTTGTGTCTTCCATAGACAGTTATAGGTAATTTAACTAGGTGCTAATTTTGTTGTCTGAAAGTAATATTAGATAAATACTACTGTGGAAGTCCCAAGAAGTAATTTTGCCTGGCTCTTTAATATGAGAATCCAAGAATAATTTATAGTCTTCTTTTCTACACTGTTTTATGCCTTTTCTAAAGATGATGATGGTTTTGAATATCAAGGCTTGTCTAAAATTGAGACACAATGAGATGGTATGCTTGGCATCTATCTCTCTTTGGTAAAGTGTTTTTCAAATCCTGAGTCACAGAAGGACATTTTGCTTCCTTCCATCTGATGTCCAAGGAGTGAATCCTTCCCACCCTCAGGTATCTTATCTCTGAAATTCAGACCACAGGGTGAAAAGGGATTTGAAAATTTATCCTCTCAAACTATCCTACTGGCAATTGTCTACCAACTAGCCAATAACCCCACCAACAGGTCTTCTCTCATCTGCTCCCAGATGCTTCTAATCCAATCTCTGACTGTTTGACCTACTATGATCACACTGTGCATTTCATAGGAACCCCATGTGCTAATATCCAAGGATCAGGAAGCAGCACTAAGCTTTTAAAATAACATATTCATATTTCCTGTCTATCCTCCCCTGATCCTACAACAGTACCCATTTCATCTTTTTGGATTTTAACTCTGCTTGTTCCCTAGACACAGCCACATAGTTAATATATACTCAGGGTAGATGACTATTTAAAAAAGTTAGATTGGATAGACCTCCATTTATTTCCAATATGAACACTCAGCGACTCTAAGGGACATTGGTATCAAGTGCTCAGGAATAGAATATATGACCTGAGGATTTTATTTATGTGAAACCAGACACCTGGCTCTGGAATTAACTTGTTTCACAGAAAAAAACTGACATCATCTGTATTGACATGTCAGTGCATTGCAAACCAAAAGTGGCCTTCACCTGCTCATGAGTTATGTGCATCTGCTCTTGTTTTGTTGTAATCACTTCTCTGGTTCTTGATTTTAATTCTTGTTCTTTGGCTTTATCGGCGGCAACTACAACCTTGGTTACAGCTGTCTTCTCCACCTCTTTTCTCGCCTGATTTTCATAAGAGAAAGAAAGGAAACATTACAGTACATACCACTCAGAAGCTCCCTCTAATACACCAGGACTATGGTGTGGCCATCAACCTGCAGGGCAGGGAGGAAAGCTAGAGTGTTTTATAACAACGTCTGCTCAAACATGAGGTGGGGTGTGACTCTGTATTTATATTCCTTTCCAGCCATGAAGCAAATGTCACATTTGTTTTGAGGAAAGTAAAAGCCAGGGTCCTTCGGGGGAAGCTTAGAGAAATCTTTCTGCCCTGAAATAGTAGTTTCCATGCCTAGCTTAAGTGGGAACTGAACCCAGACTTTGACCTGCCTTTTGTGCATGCCTGCCAGCCTCCCGCAGTCCCTGGGCGTCTTGAAAACGGTAGTTAACTTCCCCTTGCCTCACATAGCCCAGGTATTTCTTCTGACCTGGTCTGCTCCTGTGATATTTACAGCTTAAACACATTTGATATTTCTGGCCACCTTTTCCTCGGGAAGCTCTAAAAGTCTGGGCCATGCTGGGTGGCCTGCGGCCTTCAGCAGGATTTGGTTCAGCATGGGATTTGAAAGTGACATTACTGAAAGCACCATTGAGCCAGATGCTTTTGAGCACCCCCTGGTGGCCCTGTGCGTACCTGTTCTTGAGCAGGTTGTATATGCACAGCAGTCGTGGTTTTCCTCTGAGCAGTTTGCTCTACAGCACTGATAACTGGTTCTCTCACTCTGGCCATATCAACCGCAGCAACAACAGTCGCAACAGCTGCACTCTTGTCCGTTTCTTGTTTCACCTGTATTGTCAATCAACAAGTAACAAGGTTTTTAAAACAGTGGTTCTCAACCTTCCTGCTGTTCGGCCCTTTAATACAATTCCTCATGGTGTGGTGACCCACAACCCAAAATTTATTGTCATTGCCACTTTAAAATTGCAATTTTGCTATTGTAAAGCAATATTTAAATAATTTTGGAGATAGAGGTTTAGCCAAAGGAGTCGAGACCCACAGGTTGAGAACCAGTGTTTTAAAATGACACATACCTGGTAGAAAATTTATGAAACCTGAATTACCAGGAGTGAAATATATTCAGATATAATTTCCCATTTTGCCCAGAAAGACAAAGTCTGCATCATTACCATCCATACTTTATGCAAACCTCACAGATTAATCTTTGACTCAGTTAAAGACGTTTATATAAAACATGGCAACCAAGCATTATAGTTTTAGGCTCCTCTGTATTTCCTCTCTAACCTATCGGGACTGCTCCATGCGTGGAATTGGGTCCGCAGAACCCGAAGGTGAAATAGGGAAAGCAAAGAGCTCTGGCTGTACCTCCTTAGCCCCAGTAGCGACAGCTCCTGCAGTGATCGAAGAGCTGGCCGACACACTGGCGGCAGCGCCTGCCGCGCCACTGATGGTCACTTGCTCCTGGACACCGTATCTCCCTTCCCATCGCTCTTCTCTTCTGATCTGGGTAGAACTTGTCATTGTCGTTTCTGTCATCTCAGCCTCAGTTGAGGAGGCCACGTAGCCCTCTTGCTTCCAAGGCGGAGGCACCTCCGGGCCCGTGGCCACGGTGGTTGTCTGAGTCTTGCGAATGAGCAGTGGAGACTTAACAGATCTGATAGGGGAAGTGGAGATCCTCCCTGCTGGGGACACGGACCTGGAAACCAAATAAATGGCAGAGGTCAGAGCTTTGGCGCAAGGCGCTGCAGCAGGCAGGATGGGATTTGGAGGGTGGGATGACACACTGGCCGTGCTTCAGAGCAGGGTGTTAAATGTGTGCCTCCACAGCCTGTCTGCAGGGTACATACTGCACCTGAAAGTAATTTGTCTTAAATCTCAATAAACCCCATGCTTATCTGCTGTAATTCCAGAAGGGAATCAGATTTAAGTCTAAGTAAGCTAAAAATCTGTGTGCCCTGTCTCACCTTCTGACATTAGGAAAAATAGAAATACAAACAAGATGGTAAAGGGAGCTGCCTCCAAACACTACCACAGAAGGACAGTGTGTGCCCAGCTCCAGTTGGGAATGGGAGAGACAGTATATGGTGTTATATGGTTTTGGTAACTAAATGCTTGTGCCACTCCTGGCTAACCAAGCCACATTTCCCCCTCTCTCTGCCCCCCTTCTTGTCCATTTCTTCCTTATCTCCCCACAGTCTGAACCACAGCAATATTGTGTGAATTTCCAGGCCAGGTGGAAGCCTTCTTGCTGAGCCTTGCACAATCAGCTTGGGAACTGGCTGTGCTATGCATCTCAGGACTGCTGTTCTAGCCAAAAGTGTTTGTGGCTAATTCTTTTTAATTCCCCTGAGTTTATTTCTATCCTCATTTTCATATTGTCACACTAAGAACTTCCTTTATATAATATTAAAATTATCTTGTAAGTCAGCTACTTTGAAACCTATTTATTAAACTGATAAAGTATCTTCCTTACAAAATAGTTGTCACTATTTGCTTTTAGTGTTGTCTATCTGAAGTGCAAATATCATGTATCAAAGGGGATTGGGATTAAATCCTAACAGTGATAATAAAAAAAAAAGCCAGTTTGTTGTTGCCAGAAATCATTCTAGGTACAGAACAACTATCAAGATATTTTTCCAAAATTAATTACCAATTAATTTTTTTGCTCTGTTTTACCTCTTGGTGGCAGTATTGCTTCACAAATTCTGCACACAGGGCCATGCTTATAAATGCATTCTCAATCATAAATAAAACAATTCCCTCAATTAAGCTGAAGGTCCAGTGATATTTTCTCTAAGATACAGAATAACTTTGCAGAGTACACCAACCTGTTTCATGAAGAAACATTTAATCATTTTCTTGTAAAGGGCTGTGTGTGAGAGGAAAAACAATTTGTGTTTTAGAAAAGAAATTGTAACCAAGCTGAAGGGAGGTCTAACCAGTATGGATCCATGGTGAAAAGAAATCACCTTGGAAGTATAACAAAAACCAGGCTAGAATAGTGTGAAGTCCATGCCAACTGGAGGAAAGTAAAGAGATGGGAGCTTCCTGGTTTGCACTTCCTTTGTTCTTGCTGTTCCTAGCACAGTGGGTTTAATTCAAAAAGAGCTTGAGACATGATTAGCATGACGAAAGTGATTAACAGCAGGCTCCAGGTAAGCCCATAACTGCGAAAATCAATGTAATTTGAGCCATTACCGGAAAGTGCTTATTTCTGCACTTACAATAAAAAATAATAATAATCACTTGGTCACAGCTAGCCACATTGCACCTCGTCCAGTAAAATATGCTTGCTTTATCTACAACAAAAATCAAAATTAAGCCATGGGACATTTTAGGAAGGAGTCTATCTGGGATAACCATTATTTTCTTCACAAGCTGGCATTTATATTTTGTAATTATTTTAAAAGCAAATGTTGCAGACTAACTATCCAGATTCCTACTAATAAATTCTCAGAAGGCTAAGATGGCCACTGTGTTCTATGGGAGGTAGGGTTCAGAAATGTCTGTAATTCTAAATGACCCTCCGCTTTGAGTTTAAAATAGAGGAAGGCTGTTATCTCTCTGAGATTACACTTGGCCTGTGTTGTGAGTGATTACATGGTATGCAAACCTGGAGACAGCTGAGATTAAACACAAAAAATGATGGTTATCTTTTTTTAAAAAAAAACAGAGCTTTTTGTGAGTTTTCATGTTGGTTCTGGCAAAATATCTTCAATTATTTTTTATGTGGCCAAAATAAAACTTAGAAGATACTTACCATATTATAATATGTTCACTGGGCATTCACATAGCCCCCCACATTTTTAAGTTTGTTCTGCATGATTTCTTTTGCTTTAGAAATTAATTGGTAGCACTCTTAAGTGCATGTGGTAGGTTGCATTCTCCCTACTTCCTGTTCTTTGTTGTAAATCCCTGGTAGCTTCCCCTCCAGTGTTGTCTGTGTTTTGATGCTCCACAAGGTCTCCTTCAGCAGAGCCTTAGCTGGCTGTTTCTGGACTGCCATTGCTCACAATGTAGCTAGCTGGTGTTCTATATGATACTTTCTAGCAGCAACGAAGCACCTTCAGAAAGAAGATTGTGGAGTTTTTTCTGTTTTTTGGCTTTTCCTCACATTATTGCACTAATTTAGTCTAACAATGATCTTGCCTTTTTGCCATAGAGATGTTTTCATTTTTATTGTGGATCTGCAAACCTATTTTTGAAAGCTCTCCCCATAAACATGTTTTCTATACCTTAATTTTTAGTACATGCTTACTTAGTTGTGTGTGTGTGTGTGTGTGTGTGTGTGTGTGTGTGTGTGTGTGATTGTGTGCAAGTGTATGTGTTTGTGTGTTTGTCAGGGGTGGGCATAAGCTTGCCAGAGTGGAGATCAGAAGACAGTTTCTGGGATTCAGTTTCTTCTGTCTGCTAATGTGGTCCCAAGGATCGAAATCAGGTGGCCAAGGTTGGTGGTGAGTGCCTTTGCCCACCAAACCATCTTGCCATCTTCCCTTTAAAATTTTAATTTAACACTTAATCAAAATGCCATTTATTTTGTAAATGATATGAGGTAGAAGCCTGGGTTTTCTTTCTTCCAAACAGACAGCTAATTAGAACAGTCTTATTTGTAAAGAAAAATACCCTTCACCTTAATTAAAAAAAAAAAAAACACATTCCCTGTATATGTAAATCTATTTCTTTACCCTCTAGTCTGTGTCCTGGATGTGGTGCTCTAGTCACTCCTCCTTTTTCACTGCTGGGCATCAAACACAGGGTCTCACACACACCAGGCAAGCATTCTTCCATGAGGCTAGACCTTAGACCCATCATATTATTTTGATAACAGTAACTTTACAGTGAATTTGGATTTTTTTTAGGCCAACTATCTCTTTATTCCACTTTAGTTTTCTTAGCAAGGGGACTTGATCTATATGATTTTTAAAATTTCATTTGAATTGATTAAAATGCACTTTGTGTGTGTGCTCAAATTTTTTAGGTTTCAGCTCATCATATTAAAAGCCTCATTATAGATAACTTGCAAAGTTTTAGTTGCTGTGGATAATTTGTGTTTGATTGTATAATTTCTGAACACTGATACAGGCTCAACTCATAAAATCCCTACATTTTAGCTAAGAGTAGAAATCCAAATAAGAAAATATGGAAAATATTTAAAAGGTTTTAGTTATTATTTAAGAGGATGAGTGCCTGAATAATGATTTTCTGTTTTCAAGGGACACCTTCAACTAATGAGCTCATTGATTCCTTACAAAACACTTCAAATCATTCTGGCTGTGAGAACCTTTATTTTACATAGGACACAACTAAGACCTTGGGAAAGCCTCTTAACTTTTCTAGCTCTAGTTTCCTACCCAAACTACTGTGGAACCTGTTTCTTTAGGGTTGTGAATATTTAATGAGATAACATAGGAGGAGTTTGACACTGAGGTGGTTAACCATATACTGCATTGATTCTTACATTATTATAACTAGTTCCCCAAATCAAACTGTAAGCAAGTAGTCTGGGTGATGGCTTTGGAGATACTTAACTCTAAATTCTGCATAATTCTTACCTCCCCATATTATATTTTGCCTCCAAAAGTATATTTGTTGAATAGACTGCAAATAAGAATTCAGAACCTGAGTTTACAAATGTCTTCAAATAACCCACAGAAGGTGAGGATGGTAAAGATCACATTCTGGGACTTCTTGGTCTCTCTCTCTCTTTTTGTTTTTTCACATGCTGCTCTTCTGGTTGTATATTACTTAATTCTAAAAAAATGAATAAGTGACACAGTCTTCAGAGAGAAGATTTACCTGACCGGAGATGGGGTTGGTGCCCGCACGTGTCTCACTGGCGAGGGGGAGTGTCTTATTGGTGATGGGGACTGCTGTCGGGCCAGCTGTGTCTTGGCAGCAATGGAAGGTGGTGTTGGAGACCTTGACTTGGGTTTAGGGGGTATCCTGGGAGGTGTTTTATGTGGCAGCTGTCCAGAGGCACCATCTATGACCATCTCAACTGTTGCAATTGATCTGGCATCAAAGTGGGCTTCAATTTTCTAAAAACGATGCAAACAGTGGTCATAGTGAGTGAGAAAATCCAGGGAAGCAACATCCTGTAAAGCTCGAGGCTGTTTTATAAGAAAGTTACCTTTTCAATCCGGGTTTGTCTTGTTTCTGAAATCTGAGCAGTCGAAACAATTGTCTTTGTCTTTTTAGCAGGTACTACTTCTTCACCTGTGGAAATGGAAAGTCGCATGTCTTAGGAGGTAAAAACCATGAGCCTTAGGACAATTTCCTGTGTGTGGTAGTAGGGAAACTGTGGCAAGTTGTGGCTTTCAAGTGAATATACATTAGATATCAAAATAGAAAACATTTATTAGAAAGTAATTTCCTTAGATTACTTAGTTAAATATTCCATTGTTTGCCAACAACATGCAGATGTACATCACTTAATTGATATGTGTCTGGTTCTCATCCTCAGTAAACAACTTCAGTGGGCTTCAACATTGAACTCCTGCCTAGAACTCCAGAGACCTTCTTGTGCAGGGGGTGGGGGCATGGGTGGAGGTGGAGTGAAAAGGCAGCTTTGATTTAACTCCAGCTCCTACCCTCAGGGCAGCTGTCTGGGGGAAGCAGGTGGATCCCTGGCTCCACAGGCTCCCATTCTAGCCCTGTGCCCTTCTCCTCCTTAGCCTCTACCACCTACCTTGAACCAGCAATTCTGCAGTGGAAGTGGCTCTTCCAACGCTATTGGTGGCATTTACAGAATAGGTCCCGGAGTCTTCAGGATATGCTTCTGCAATCAGTAAGCTGTAGAGGTCGCCTTCTTGAGAAATTTGGAAATCAAGGGAGCTCTGGATTTCAGCTCCGTCCCGGTAGAACTTCACCACAGGTGTAGGGATTCCAGTCACTCTCACTTGGAGCCGCACTTGGCTCCCTTGTCTCACAGTCATGCTCTGCAGCCGCTGAGCGAAGTTGGGTGGTGCTGTCTCCGCTGCCATGGGCAGAGAAGAAAATCAGGCCCAGGAGTCAGTGTGCTCTCAACAAGGTATTTTTAAACAACCACAGCTCTTGAGTCCCAACTCAGGGATTGCCTCACCAATGCAGCATCCTTGACTGTCCTTGAACCCCAGCACCCCCTAGTGAGTGGTAGCTAGAATGCAGCAGGAACAGAAGGCTGCCCTGCAGGCATTTAATAGTAATTGTTTTGCTGTCTTTAGCAGTTCTAGGCTACTGCACTTGGTTTTTAATTTTTTTTATTCATGTATGTGTACATGTGAATGAGGTTATATGTACCATATGTGTTCAGGTGCCCAGAGGCCAGAAGAGGATGTCAGATACCCTACAACTGGAGTTACAGGAGGTTATGACACAGCGCGTGGGTACTGGGAGTCGCACCCTGGCCCTCTGTAAGAGCAGTAAACCTCTTAACCCATAAACTATCTCTCCAGAACTTAATATTTTACCAAAAAGTTTAGATGTTGCTGTACTATTCTAGACCTTTCTGGCACTTTCAACTCTCGAACGCTGCCTTTTGCTAACATGCTTAGGTAGCTTTGTATATTATGTAAATTGAACTACATATATATAGTAGTTCAAACATGATATGTTAAGAGTTCATATAACACATCGTAACAAGCAGAATAACTCTTGTTCTTCGTATGTGTTTATCATTTTAAGAACTGAAGGATTGCCAGGTGGTGGTGCACACCTTTAATCCCAGCACTCAGGAGGCAGAAGCAGGTGGATCTCTGTGAGTTCAAGGCCAGCCTGGTCTACAGAGCAAGTGCCAGGATAGGTTCTAAAGCTACACAGAGAAACCCTGTCTCAAAAAAACGAAACCACCAAACAAACAAAAAGAACTGAAGGATGAACAAAACCTACCAGAGCAATTGGAAATGAATTTATGGGAAAGTGGTGTCATGTATTTGCATAACTAGCATTTTCCCTTTTCTGGCTGTGCTTACTGTACGGTATTTTCAATGCTGAGTTTATGGACCTCCTTCATCAGAATTATGACAATGCTTGTTAAAGTGGAAATTCCCACTGATTTCTGGAATATTCCCTATTTCTTGATAAGCCTCTAAAAGTTCTACTTGCTGAGGAACATAATCTTTAGTGTTTCTTCAATATCCTTTGAGTGTGTGATATGTATAGAGATACTGCTTCTCAACTGCTTTGTACTTCATCCTCAAATTGAATTACATTACACAACCCACACAGTCATGCACGCTCATCCTACAGATCTTTCTCCAGCTTGGGAGATGCCTCTTTTGTGAGCACGGCTCAATCTGGACTCCCTGGGTTCTGGCTTAGGACAGGCTAGTTCCTATTGACCTACCTGTCACAAGAAGCTCAGCAGTACTAGTCGCTTGTCCAGATCCATTGGTGGCTCTCAGGGAGTATCGTCCACTGTTGGCTTTAGTCACGGCGGGGATCGTCAATCTAGCGCGGCCATCGCTAAAGGAGATCTGCACGCCGGGCAGAGTGGAAGTTGAAATAACCTGGCCATCCCGAAACCAGCTCACCTCAGGAACTGGAGAACCTAGAAGGCAAGCAGTCATATTTACATTGGAGTGGACACTGCTCAGTCCTCTGTTCTTTCCCATCATTGCAAGGCCTTGCACTAGCTTGTCAAAGCTAGATGAAATGGAAACCTATTTAGTGATGGTGACAGCATGACAGTCAAATGACACAAATGTACAATTGCAGATCATTAGGAAGGCCTGGCAGTTTTCATAGAGTCCTACCCCCTTTACTTTATGGAGTTGAGTTTGAGGTTCATTGAAGCATTATCATTTCTCAGCCATCACTGGCACAAAGAGGGGTAGAAAGGTAACCATTGTTATCTGTGAAAATATGAGGACTAGAGGCAGCCAAGCCATCTTACATTTCTGCCTCAGGGGGCCTTGCTTACCTCCCTCCTCGACTCTGGACACACTGTCCAGAATGAACTTGCAATGTGACTGCAGCAAATACCCCCTCACATGGACAGGCTGTTCCTCATGTTAACTCCAAAGCCAAACCCAGTCTTCCAGAACAACATATGAAGCTGGAGCAGCAAGAGGAAAGCTAGGTTTTCTTCATTTATTGTTAAGAACAGTATCAATGCTTCTGTGTTTTATTAAAGTCTAGTGTGTCCAGAGATTGGAAGGCCACTTCAGGGAATGTCTACGTGGCATTGGACATGCATGCTGTCCTTGTTGATAGTAGAATGTTGACTGCATTGTCCACATACCAGTCAACCTCCCACTACAAGAGTGTGAGTTTTTTAGACTAATTTGTGGGTGTCAAACATCATCTGTGATGTATTTCTAATAACTTAAAGACACATAACGAGGAGGAATGTGAAGATATGAAGATGGCAGCTCCTACTACTGCACAAAGAGGCAAATACCCATCCCCGGTGTGTTCTGCTCAGTTTAGAAGTTACAGAAGATTTGAAGAAAAGTAAATTAATTATTTGAGAGTTCATCATGCAAAAGGAGAATTGAATTGGTTTCCATCAATAGCAAATGAGTGATATTATGATATTTTTGCAAAGTATTACACAGTTATGTAAGACTCATAATACATAATACAAAAAGGAAACATTAATTCATATCTTTATTGCAAGCCATACATAAAAACTAAAAATAAAATAACAAAAAACAAAGAGAAAAAATGAATTCATCACAGTAATGTATTGAATTATGAACTAATCATAGTATAATTTAATAAAATCCTATATGACCAGTCACAGTACTATAGAAGGAGACATTGATTCAACAATCATTTTGAAATTATTTACAGTATAGTTTATTATTTACAGTATAGACAGCCCTCCCTCACTTGTTATGAATCTTGCACAACCTACAATCATCCCTAAACCAAGTGATGGAGAAAAAGAGGCAAAAAAGAAATGGATGAAATTCCTTCTAAATTAAATTCTCTGGCAAATGTTTGTACCTTTTGAGTATAAAGACAAAGGGCAGACAGTATTATGCTTTGCCATTCATAGCAAAAGGGAGGTCTTTAATTCACTTGAATAATTTAATAAAGATGACAATCCCAATAAAATAATTATCATGAGAAGTCACTGCACCTGCACTCATAGAAAGTTGCGTGGACTGGTTTTGTTTCTGTGTAAAACTGAAATCGAGGTGCAGGCTACTGTCCTAGAAGCTCTGTCACTGGACCCTACAGCTCAAGGGTTCTTGTCTGTCACGCTGGCTCTGCAGCTGAACCCAAATATAGGATGACCAAATTTGGTCCTACTTAGTTGCTAGACTCTGACAGCAAATTTTAATCTAATGCTAATTATTTTTGCTTTGTGGAATTATAAATATGAATAAAACATTTTCAAGTCATTATATTGTCAACATCCTGTGAACAGTATGCCCTTAAAATGACCTTAAAATGTGTTATGCCAATTTTACATAGAAAAGTAGGGTTTAAACTTGGTTTCAAAGCCTACCAAAAAAAAAAAAGTTACTGTACTGGAGGAGGCAAGTGGAACAGAAAAGAAACCACACACACATGGGCTTACCACTAACGTGAGCCTCAAAGGTTGCGGTACTACCCTCCAGTACCACAACACTTTGTAACGGCTGCGTAAACGTCGGTGCTTGAGTAGTCATCTTCTTAGGCACTCTGAAAAGGAAAAGAAAAAACGGTGAAAATGTTAATACTCAGGGTCCCTCAGCAGCTACTCGCTGGAGACAAAAGCATGAATGTCTCCAAATGGATTTCTCTAGGCATATGTGGCCCTCAAGCAATAGGAAGCCTTCTCTTGGGGCTTCTGCAGTTGACCTTTGAGCTAATTTAACAAAAATAGAGGTGGAG